AATAGATTATTTTCTCATATAATATAGTCTGATTATGGTTTCCCCTCTCTCTACCTCTCAGTTCCTCTCCTCTCGCCCTCCCTTCCAGGCCTATTCCCTTTCTGTTTCTCATTAGAAGAGAACACACTTTTAAGAGATGACAACAACACATAACAAAGTAAAATATAAGATAAAACAAAAAGCATCACATTGAAGTTGGGCAAGACAAACAAACAAAGCCCACTTGCTGACACACTTAGGATTCCCATAATTAAACTAAGATGAAAGTCATAATGTATTCACATAGGACCTGGTGTAGACTGGTGCAAATCCTGAGCATATTGCTTGGGTCTCTGTGAGTTCATATGATGTTTGCATATGTTGATGTAGAGGGTAATGTTCTCTTAGTGTCCCACATCCCCTCTGGCTCTTATACTACTTCCACTTCCTTTTCCTTGGTGTTGACTAAGCTCTGAGGGGAGGGATTTCATGGAGATGTCAAATTTAGGGTAGAATGCTTCAAGGTCTCTCTTTCTGCATAATGCACTGGCTGTGGGTTTCTCTATTTGTTTCTGTCTTTTGCAAGAGGAAGCATCTCTGATGATGGCCAAGCAGGGCACAGATCATATTTGTATTTTGGGATCTGAAATTCCTCACTCTGGATGTTTGTTTATTTTCATGTTGTCTTCTATTTATTTATTTATTTATTTATTTATTTAACAGCTGAGTAATAGGATAGAGCGTCTTTTGGGTATATACCCAAGAGTGTATACACAGTATTGAGGTAGATCAATTCTTATCTTCTTAAGGAACTACCATACTGATTTCCATAGTGCTGTACAAGTTTGTATTCCAACCAGCAATAGATGAGTGTTCTCCTTGCTCTACAGTCTCTTGAGCACTGTCTGTCATTTGTTTTATCAATTTTACCCATTTTGATGGGTATAGGTTGAAAATCTTAAGATGTAAAATGCTGATATTAACTTGATAAGGTTTCATGGGTGCAGTTAACAGTATCAACACTGTTGAAAGACAGTGGGTGTCATATGAACATGACTTTATTGATAACAAACCTCGATGCTACTGAACCTCTGTTAAGTTCTTGCAAATTAGGGGAGAATGGGAGAGACAAAATATTGTTGTAAATTTTTAACCAAAATTGAGCAAAAGATATATACTCCCTCCTGGTATAGCTAGTATAATATTAGACTGATAAATTATTCAGGACATATTTAATATTGACTTAATATTTTAACATTTTAAATTATAAATATTAAGTATTACTCATATAATATATTAGGCAGAGGAAGTCTACTATTTGTTTATAGTAGACTTACTATTAGAACCACAAAGGTTTTGGTTACAGACAGTGAAATATACCATATGTGCATGACAGGAAATGACTTGAGTATGAATTGCAGCCTAATCACCTAAAGTTATTGTGTGGTCTCATTGACCATATGGTCTTGGTCAAGTTGACTGTGTATAAAGCATTTCAATTAAGATAGATGTCAAGTACACGGTAGTAATAAATATGGTACTAAATAATTAAAGCTTGCTAATTTATGTGCTTTTATTTTTTATTTTGCTTTTATCAGAAAATATGTTTTCACCATTTAAATTATTGTTAATATGGAAGTTTATTTGTGGGGCTTACAAATCATAATATCAGCATTTTGTTACTATAAAAATACTTGGAAGAGACCAATTATGAAGAGAAGTTTATGTAGCACATATTTTGTGAAGTTGTAAATCCAAATGTCATGGTGTAATATCACAATGACTTATTGTGATGGCTAGCTTTAGCTGTTAATATAATATAGAATCACTTGGGAAGAGAATCCCAATTATAAATGTCTATGTTGGGTTGTTCTATGGGCATGTCTTTGGATGATTATCTTAAGTTAATTGATATAGAAAGAACTAATTCAATTTTGTAAAAGCATTCCATAGGGAGAGAGTAGTCACCTAAATGACAATGAAGAAATCGAACTAAAGACAAAAAAGGGATCAAGAAAATCTCTGTGTGTTCGTGACTGTGGGTGTGATGTGAGTAGCTGCTTCCATCCATTGTAGTTACTACATCTTCACAATGTTGGACTGTAACTTAGAATTGCAAACTAAAGAAATATTTTTCTCCCCTAAATTGCTTTTAATCCTAATATCTTAATCCAACACAAATGAAATAAGAATGTTCAGATTTAATTTCCTCAAGGAATAACAATTGTGACAGTTTGTGCATATATCTTGAATCAGACTCAATTACAGCCGTGACGTTCCTTTTTTAAAATCATATGCTCACTGAAGACATAAAAGATAATTACTTTCTGAGTGTTAGCCCCCAATAATTTTGAGGTGGCAACTCTTGGTTGTCAACTTGACTACTTCTGGAACTTAAACCAAAAGTGGAGGGCATACCTGTGAGGGATTTTACTTAATTTGAAGTAGGAAGATTTATTTATCTCTTTCTCAAGAAAAAAATACTTTTTTATGTGCATTGGTGTTTTGTCTGTGTGTATGTCTGGATGAGGATGTCAGATCTTGGAGTTAGAGACAGTTTTGAGCTCGTATGTAGGTACTGGAAATTGAACCCTGGTCTCATGAAAAAGCTTTTAGTGCTCTTAATCACTGGGCAATCAATTCAGCCCTAGAAGACTCACTTCTATTCTGTATCTGTGAGTTAGGAAGATATGGCTTTAATCTAGATTTTTCAAGCTGCGAAAAGGCATGCCATTAATCAGGATCTTGAGGTAGGAAGATGCACCGTCAAGCTAGGGCACCCTGTCCTCTGGAAGACTATGTAAGGACGTGTAAGCAGGAAGCTTTTGCTTTTTACCAGTTTGCTCTCCCTACAAGCCGAATATTAACTCTCACTAGAACCTACCTGTTTGGGGTTCCAGCATATAATGAAAACCAATGGAGACATCCAGCCTCATGGGCTGAGCAAGACTGGATTCTTCGATTTTCCATTCACAACCAGCCATTGTTGAACTAGCTGAATTGCAGCCTGTATATCATTATAATAAATTATATTTTTAAACATAGAGATTCATTTTATAAATTCTGTTACTCTAGAGAACACTGACTAACACAGAACCAAAGAATCTGCATGACCCCTCTCTCTTAAAAATATCATCACCTCCCTATGTAATATACCCTTTAATATTTGAATTTTTCACCAAAGGAAATTATTATTGATATTGGGAATATATCTCTTTAAGATGCCACATTTGACAGAGCAGTAATAAATGGGACTCCATGAAATTGAAAATCTTTTATAAAGCAAAGGGTACCATCAGTAGGACACAGCAGCAACCTACAAAATGGAAAAAGATCTTTACCAACTCCATATCTGACAGAGGGATAATACCCAATATACATTGAAGTCAAGAAACTAGACATCAACAACCCAAATAATCCAATTAAAAGATGAGGTACAATCTAAACAGAGTTCTCAACAGAGGAATCTTGTATGGATAAAAAGCACTTAAATAAGGGTGGGTGGGGTTACAACCTCATAGAAGCAGGAGGAGGGGGATGGGACAGGGGTTTCTGGGGGGGGGAGGGGGAAAGATGATAACATCTTAAATGTAAGTAAAATATCCAATAATAAATAAAAGAAGTGTTCACCATCCGTAGGCATCAGGAAAATGCAAATCAAAATGACACCTGTCAGATACCTAAGATATAAAACACAAATGACAGCTCCTACTGGCATACTTGTGGAGCAAGGGAAACACTTCTCTATTGTTGATAGGAATGAAAACTTATACAGCCAATTTGGGAAACTATATGACAGTTTCTCAGAAAATTGGGAACTCATGTACCTCAAGGCCCAACTATACCTTTCCTAGGTGTATACTCAAAGGATGTTCCATCCTAGCACAAGGAAGCTTGCTCAACTATATTCATAGCATCTTTATTTGTAATATCCAAAAATTGAAAAAAGAAAAAACCCTTAGAAGTCTCCCAAGTAAAGAATTAATAAAGAAAATGTAACACATTTATACAGTGGAGAATTACTCAGCTGTTCAAAACAAAATAACTTTCTGAAATTTGCAGGCAAATGGACCGAGCTAGAAGAAATCATCTTGAGTGAGGTAACCCAGGTCCAGGAAGACAAAAATGGTATATACTCATTTATATGTGCATGTCAGCTGTGAAGGGAAGGATAGTCATCCTATAATCCGTAAATACAGAGAGGCTAAGTAACAAAGAGGGCTCAATGGGAGACACATGATTTCTCTGGGAAGGGGAAAATGTAATAGATTTGAGGGGTGCGTGAATTGGGAACAGAAGGGAACAGGTGTCAAGGGATGATGGGAGAAAGTACGGGGAAAAACAACTAGAATTGAGCAGGGGCATTTGGGCATGAGATAGAAACATAGTGCAATGGTAACCTCTCATCTAAGACTCCTAGTAATGGGGGATATGGAGCCTGAACAACCCATCTTCTGTAACCAGGCAAGGCTTCCAATGGAGGTATTGAGACACCAATACAGCCACAAAACCTTAGATGTGCTGGGATAAAGGTTGTACAGAACTTGTGATAGTGGCCAAAAAAATTACTGGTCCAACTTGAGATCCATAGAATCAACTAACTAGAGTTTATACGGGCTCACAGAGACTGAATCAGGGAGCCTCTAGGCATCTGATGTAGGTCCCACAAATGTTTGTGTAGCTTGGTGTTCTTATCTTGGTGTTCTTATCTTGGTGTTCTTATGAAATATCTAATAGTGGGAATGAGGAATGTCTCCGAGTATTTTGCCTACTTTTGGGACCGTTTTTTTTTCTTCTACTGGGTTGCATTATCTAACCTTAAAATGAGGGAGATGTGCCTAGTCTTATTGCAATTTGATATGCCATGTTTGGTTGCTATTCTTGGGATCCATACCCCTTTCTGAGTGAAATGGAGGAGGAGTGGATCTGGGGGAGTGGAAAGGTGTGGGAAGATAGAGACTATGGGAGGGAGGAGAATCTGAGATTGAGAGGTAATATATGAGAGAGTAAAAATAAAGACTCCTACTCCCATAGGCATTGCAGGAGTGGCTGTTGTGTCACGTGTGCATCAGTAGTAACACAGAGAGGAGAGGCTATGTCTACACTCAGTCTCCTGACCTATGAACATCTCAACAATTAGTAGCCTACTTAAGGAAAAGATTCAAGTCTGAGATGACCACCAGTCTGATGCTGGGGACAGGGACAGGTAGATAGCCTGAGAGGACCACCAGTCTATTGCTGCACAGACCCAGATTGGCTCCCAGGGTTGACTCAGACATGGAGCTAGCCAAAAACCAGTCTGGTGCCACAAAGGTCTGGGAAGGACCTGCCTATGCTTAGGATGACCCCTAAACTCCACCTATGTCTCTCCTGCCCAACTACTGGCAATTGGCATGTTTATTTACTAATCAGAAATAATTTGGGGAAAAGTCTACATTCAGATTCTCTGTCTCTAAGACAACCAAGTCTTGGGGGTCCAATATTAGCATTAAAATATAAGCAGCATCAGGCCAACCCATTACATTTCTCACATTTTTCTAATTAAAAGGTCTCTTTCTCTTATAATAACAAACAATATATATTTTAAACAATTATGAAAATTATTAAGTATGAGTTACATTTAAATTCCAGTCTCTTTGTATTTGTAACTTGGGTGACGAACCTTACCAGGTATCCTATCTTAATGTGTTTTCAATTCCGTACCTAAATCATCTTTTGTTCTAATTTGTTTTAACGTCTTTTTTTAAATTGAATATTTTATTTATTTACATTTCAGATGACATCCCCTTTCCCCATTTCTCCTCCCTAGAAACCCCCTATCCCATCCCCCCAACTCCTTTTTGCTTTTATACCATTTTAATTACATGCAAGTATTAAAGTCAGTTCTAGGTTGAGGAACTAGCAATATAATAAATGCAAACAGTCAAGGAACAGGCAAGACAATATACACAAATAGTCAAAGAACAAGCAAGGCAATAAACAAAATTCTGTGAACACTCCCATGATCACTGTTTCTAAAGGCTTATCAGAATGATCAAAGTATCTGAGCCAACTTCCATCTTTTTAGACCTAGAACATGTTCTTAAATCCTAAACAACTTAAGTTTCATTGTGAGACTATAATTATCTAATTTTCAACCCCTTTAGATACTTGAGAAGGAATAAGTATTTGAGAATGCAGGAAGTACAGGAACACAGCTTCCAAAATTTTAACAATTGGCAGAGACAGCTAACTGCCTAGACAGTCCTCAACATTCCTTATAACATGGAGCATCTATCTTCAGCTTTCTGACCCAGAACATCTGACAGACCTTATGTGAAGCAGGAATTAGGAAGGATTAGCTTACCCTGCCTTGGCAGAGCTTAACTATCGACTATCCTGCATCCATTTGTCCTTTTTGGACATCATTTTGTCTGCAGACAAAGTTAGGGCATTTCTTGCCTAGTGGCTAGCTTGCCACAATTGAAGCAAGTGTATATGGAGACACTGATGCTCATCATCTTCTTTGAAGTGAAATGAGGGTATTGTCAGGAGCAGACAAGTCTTATAATCAAAAGATTTTTTAAATAATGTAATGATTTTAAATGGCATATTCTGTGAATCTCTGACACTCTGAACAAGCAAACATTGCCTGTCTCCAGCTACCTATTATCTGTATAATCCAGAATGTATATTTTTGTGATAATCCAGACCTGTATCCAACATGACTATGAGTTTGACGAATTGATAAATTGCATTACATAATCATTCTAAACAGTTTGTAATAGCAGCCATTAAAGAGACTGTGAGTACACCCAGGATTCCAATTGAGCTGCTTAGGTACAATGACTATTTAAGAGTAACAAAATTAATTTTAAAATTTGTATCAATATATGAAGATTTATACCAATTAAAACCTTAAACCTATATCAATATACAAATTCTGTACCAGTGTAAGAAAATATAATGTTAATTCTGAATCAAAACATAAAGAACTATACCAATGTAAGATTACAGTTTAAAATATTTTTATTTAAGAATAGATTTAATAATCTGTCCCTATTTGTCTAATTTTTATAGTATTATTATATTGCCTTTTTCTTCTGAACCCCCTTCCCTTTACCTAAGAAAGAAAAAAAAAAGAAAAGGGAAGAGGGAAGTGAAATCCCTGAGTATAAGCCCCCTTTTAGTTTCCTCCATGTCCAAAACTATATTTACTTGTAAATTATCCCTTAAAGTGGCAACATATCTATAATTTATAAAATGACTAAAACCATCTATCCCAACTTAAGGGACTGGAATGATGATTTTCTTATAATTGCTTCCTGTAAAATTGGGGCAAAGTATTCCTGTTTGACCCCAGAAGGAAATTTGAAAAATAGTTAAGTCAAAATAAAGTTAGCTGGCATTATTTGTTGCCAAGTCTTTATATGTTGAGGAAGTTTAGAGCTTAACTGAAGTTCTGACTGGTATAGTCTGAAAGACTGGATGAACCAAGCAAAGTCATTGATGATTAGCAGTTTTTCCTGAAGCTGTTCTGGAAGGATGCCTCTGGAAACAGCATCAGTTGAGGCAAGATCAGGCAGAGAGCTGGAACAGTTGGCCATTTGAGCATCCCCAAGGGTAAATTTTGTCAGGGCTACCTTCTTGGTGCTTCATTCTGTAATATATAAACCTTATAGCCAAGATTTAGTACTGTTAATATGTTTGTACAAAATGTGCAAGGTGCACAGATAATTTAAGAATGAAAGTTTGCTCCTTGTTTCAGCAGGTAAAAGACAATTGTCTTCTCTATGAGTTAGTTTGATCAACAGCCAAATTGGAATAAATCATCATTCATGCCATATGCAAGGATGGCATGATGAATTTTGAGGATTCTGTAGCCAACAAGATTTATAGGCTATGTATAGCTGATGATTTGGATGGAGACATTTTTATATCTCAGCCAGTTTTATGGCTATTCCCATGTAGAGGGATCAGCAAATCATGTTACCTATCCTGTCTGGTCTTCTTGATTTTTTTTCATTCCTGTCTGCAGTCAAGATCTTCAGGGGGTCTTCCTCTATAAAATCTTATTCTTATTACTTTGGAAGGAGTCCAAAGCCTGTTCTTCCCTGTTAACACAAATACAGAGCCTCTCTACCAAAATAGCATGTCACTGGTCCAGAAAACCTAAAAAGTATCAAAAGTATAGACTGATTGACTTTATCAGCCTCTTTTATTTAGGACTGCTCTACATTGACCTCTCAAATAGAGTATTTGTAATATCATTATCACCACCGAACTAATAACCACATTCATTTTGATAATTAAAACAATTAAAAATTTAAAACAATTATTGTTATTTATTGAGATAAGGTTTCTCAGTGTAGCCCAAGCTAGCCTGGATTTGTCTGTAGATTAGGTTGCTGTAGACTCATAAGAAGCCTAACTATCCTTGTCTTTGTCTCCTAAGCATTGAGATCAAAGGCCTAAATTTATTTATTCATCCATGTCTCAAGTGAGTCATAGGCAGAGTCATAGTGACCTGTCCCCTGAACCTTTACCCAGCCAATACCCGGTTCTGAAAGATATCTGTATTCACCCTGAACACCCACACTTCAGTGTCATCCCCTTCCCCACATCCTGCCTTTCTGTGTTTATAAACCCTGTGTGAATGGATTACAATTTGAGAAAAAATAAATAAATTATTTAAAAGAAAAAAAAAACCAAAAACATGTAAACAATTTTCATTTATTTCTCCCTTCTATGGAGACTAATATCTCTGTGAATAAATATACTTACTTCCCCTTTCTCTTCATGTAAATTAAATCAATATCCTTTCCTATATTTAACTTTATTTAAATTTCATTTTATTTACTGTATAACCCTATTCTCAAGCCATCACATACGTGTCATGTACTAGGCTAAGCAGTCCCAGTATTCCTGTAGAGCCCACCTTGAAAGAAATCAGTTGCTTAAGGTAGTGCTGACATTTTAATTTACTTTATTCTCTATAATTTTTTGATTGCAGGAGGCATGCAGCTTACTTTCTGCTCTCTGAGCAGCAGGACTTTACCTGCTTCACTGCACAACAGGAGCTTTCAGCATTCATTCAATTAAGCTGCATCTTCAAGTCAGTATAGAATAGTGTTTGAGAAGACCCCAGGCTGAAGTTTGAGCTTGCTTCTTGGTGTGTTGTTTGGACTGATTTGGAAGGCCCAGATGTGTCTCAGCTTATGCTATGTGCCCTAGAATAAGGCATAACAAATTAGCACATATTTTGCCCTAGTCCTGAGCCCTCCATAGCTTGAGGAAAAACAACATAGCTAAGAAACCAATTCTCCCTGCCTCCTAATCTTAAAGGGACAGCATGTGTTTTTCATTCAGGAATCTGAAATTAGTATTTTTAAGTGAGGTTTTGTTAAATGTTGAGCCTCCAGTATATTGTAGAAATCATTCAATTCCGACCTGAGATTTGTGCCCTGCCTTTGACCATTTAATACACATCCTTTATATTTACAATAAGCCTTAATCAGCACAAGTACTGGACAGATATCTACTCTCTATGTTATTAGAATCTACTTTTCTATCAATAAACCTGAGTTACTACTTACTATATGTTCCATCTGGGCTGCCCTTAACTCTAATTGGCCAGCCCACAGGGCCACATTTTCATAACTCACTTAACCCCTGGTGGCCTCTCTTTTCTTTTCTACCTTCTTCCCCTCATGGTTCTCCTCCCTCCTCAAGAAACCTAAACCCACCTGTCTCTTCTGCCCAGCTATTAGCTATTAGCATTTTTACTTCAATCAGAAATAACTTGGGAGCCAGATCTACATGCAGATTCTCTGGGACAACCAGGTCTTGGAGAAGCAATATTAGCATTAGAATACAAGCATCCTCAGGCCAACCCACAACACTATGAAGATAGACAACACTTGAGATTTAAGGGTAGTGAGGAAGAGCCTGATGTGAGTACCTGGGATTGTGATAGAGGGTTCTGGCCTGTGCTTCCACTGGGGCCACATCTTTATCCATCGTCCTACAGCAGCAGGAGTCTGTTACCAACAAAGGCAAAGCAGATAGCCCTGATCTGGGCAGCTACTTAGGGGTATGTTGATGCCTGAGGCCTGTGAAAAACTAGCCCCACCTCTTGCCTGGGCAAGATGGGAGAGCTGGCTCTGAGAATGA